ACACTGTGTTCCATCCAACAACATCATAATATACATTATTCTAAGCAGTACATGGTACACACTCTAAAAAAGACCATATAGTAGCCCACAGAAAATATTTAAGTAAATGTAAAAGAATTGAAATTATCCCACACATGTTATCGGATCTTAGAGCCTTGAAACTAGAAACTAATGATAAAAGAAACTCCAAAAACTCTACAAACATATGGAAATTGAATAATACACTCTTGAGCAATCAGTGGGTCACAGAGGAAATTAAAGAAGAAATTAAACAATACCTACAAGTAAATGAAAATACAAATGCAACTTACTAGAATCTGTGGGATGCAATGAAAGCCATCCTCAGAAGAAAATTTATTGCACTGAGTTCCCACATCAGAAAAACAGAATGAATACAAATAAATAACCTGATGTTACACCTCAAACATCTAGAAAAAGAAAAGCAAGTCAAGCCCAAAGCCAAAGGAGGGAGAAAATTATAAAATCAGAGCAGAAATCAATGCAATAGAGTAAGAAAACAATACAAAGAATAAATGAATGAAAGAGTTGGTCCTTTGAAAGAATAAATAAAACTGATAAGCCCTTAGCCAATCTTATTTTAAAAAGGAAACAAGCTGAAATTCATGCAACAAGGAGTGAAAAATGTGAAATCACTACAGACTCTGTAGAAATACAGAAGATCATCAACACCTATTTCAAAAACCTCTACTCTCATAGGTTCTATAACACAGAAGAAATGCACAGATTCCAAGAAACATATGAACTACCAAAGCTGGATCAAGAAGCTATAAATATGCTTAATAACCCAATTTCTATTAATGGAACTGAAAATATAATTAAGGCGTTACCTACAAAGAAGAGCCCAGGCCCAGATGGATTCATTTTGAAATTCTACAAGAAATACGGAGACGACTTAATGCCCATACTCCTCAAACTCTTCAATGAAATCAAAAGGGATGTAATTCTTCCTAAGTAGTTCCTGGAAGCAAATATTACTCTAGTACCAAAACCTGAGAAAGACCCAACTAAAACAGAGAACTACAGGTCAATCTCCCTAATGAATGTACATGCAAAAATTCTCAATAAAATATTGGCAAACAGGATGCAGCAAATCGTCAAGAAGAATAAACACCACAACCAATTGATCCAAGGCACGCAGGGATTGTTCAATGTACACAAATCAATAATTGTAATCCACCATATCAATAGATCCAAACCTAAGAATCACATGATGATTTATATAGATGCAAAAAGTGCTTTTGATAAAGTCCAACCCTCATTCATGATAAGAACCTTACAGAAAATTGGAATAGATGGTTTTTACTTCAATATGATAAAGGACATCTATGAAAAACCAACAGTCAACATCATACTACATGGCCAAAAACTGAAAGCCTTTCTGAAAATCAGGCACACAAGACAAGGATGACCCTTATAACTGCTCCTATTCAACTTAGTAATGGAAATAGTAGCCACAACAATTAGATAATAGAAAGAAATAAAAGGAGTAAGATAGGAAAAGAGGAAGTTAAATTATCATTATTTGCAGACGATATGATACTCTATACAGAAGACCCCCAAAACTCCATTGAAAGACTCCTAGATATAATAAATTGAGCAATGTAGCTATATACAAAGTCAATACTCAAAAATCAATAGCATTCCTATACACTAACAACAAAATCACTTAGAGAGAAATAAGAGAAGCCACGTCCTTCACACTAGCATCCAAAAAATGAAATACTTTGGAATTAATATCACAAAAGAAGTAAAACATCTATACAGGGAAAATTATAATATGCTGAAAAAAGAAATCAAAAAGGATCTAAGAAAATGGAAAGACATCTCTTTTTCATAGATAGGAGAATAAATATTGTGAAAGTCACCATTCTCCCAAAACTGTTATACAGATTCAGTGTAATCCCAATGAAAATACCATGAAAAAACCTCATAGATCTAAAGAAATCACTCCTAAAATTCATCTGGAACCAGAAGTGACCTAGAATAGCAAAAGCAATTCTAAACAGGAAAGGCAATTCTAAACAGCCAAGGCAAGGCAGGGGGCATCAAAATCCCTCACTTGAAGTTATAGTATAAAGCTACTGTAATAAAATCAACATGGTGCTAGAATAAAAACAGATCTGAAGATTAATGGAATAGATTAGAAAATACAACCACAGCTACCAACACACTCAACCACCTTACTTTAGATAAAGGGGCCAAATATGTTCACTGAAAGAACATCAGTCGCTTTAATACATGGTGCTGGAAAAAATTGGCTCTCCATGTGGCAAAAACTAAAACTAGAACCGTGCATATCACCACTTCCTAAACTAAAATCTAAATGGATCAGAGATCTGAATACTAAAACAGAAACACTAAATCTGTTGGAAGACAAATTGGTTAAAAATCTCCAAGACATAGGGGTAGGTAGAGAATTCATGAACAGGAATCAAACCTCACAGGAAATATTCCTAGAATGAATAATAATGAATATCATGTCTGATTTTAAAAGTTCCTGCATGTCAAAAGAAATCTCCAGCATAGTGAAAAGAAAACCCACAAACTTGGGGTTCTTAGTGAACTGTCCCTCAGGCAAAGGACTTCTGTCTAAAACATTTAAAGAATTTTTAAAAATCAGACGCCCAAAATTCAAACATCCAATCCAAAAATGGGCATCCAAGATGATTACACAGTTCTCAGATGAAGAAATAAAAATGGGAAATAAACACATGAAAAAATGTTTATCATCATTAGTCATTAAAGAAATGCAAATTAAAAACACACTGAGATTCCATCTCACTCCAGAAAGAATGGTCACGATCAAGAAAACTACCAACAACAAATGCTGGAGAGGCTGTGGGGAAAAAGGCACTCATCTGCACTGTTGATGGGAGTATAGATTGGGGCAACCACTGAGGAGGTCAGTCTGGAGATTTCTCAAAAGGCTGGAATTTTAACTCCCATTTGACCCAGCTGTACCACTTCTAAGCATATTCCCAGAACTAAAACATCATAACACAGTGATATGTGTGTACCCATGTGTATAGCAGCACAGTTTGTAATAGCCAGATCTTGGAAATAACCTAAGTGTCTGTCAACTAAGGAATGGATAAAAAAGATGTGGTATTTTTATACAATGGAATAGTACTCAGCTATAAAGAATGATCACATTGAGATATTTATAAATAAATGGATGCAACTTGAGACCATACTCATAAGTGAAATAAATCAAACTCACATCTATAAATCCTGTGTAGTCTCCCTAGAGTAAGAAATGGTAAGTGTATATAAGATTTTATAGTAGTCATGATTCCCCATTATATGGCTTTGAAGCCTTGTAATGTTTTCATTCATTAGTTGGTATGGTTTTATTCTGTTTTGTTAGATTTTATTATGTATGATGGGATGAACAGTTATTTTGAAGAAAACAAGACATTATGGTAGCCATTGCTGATGTAATATCTTGTTTTGAAGCCCTACGATGCTTTTGTTCTTCGGTTTCCATTGGTTCTATCATGTTGTGTTCTATTGCATTTTGATATGTGTGATAGTATAAACAAATTTTTATGGAAAATGAGATAATACAGTAGCCACTGTTCATTTTCTGTTATTTGGTTCTGAATGCCTTATAATACTTTCCTTCTCGTCAATAGTTTTAGACTATTTGGTTGTGCTTGATACTATTATATGTGAAAGTATGATTAACTATTTCAAAGTAAGAGACATTATGGTTGCTACTGCTAATATCCAGTTGTCTGCTACTGATCTGCTGTGTTGCTTACATTGTTCTGTTCTGATGTTCTTTGTACTGTACTGTTTTCTCTTAATCTCTTTAAAGTAATATAAAATAAATTTTAAGAAAACAATGAAGAGACAACCTTTAAAATGCAAGCCAAACATGCTCAGCCACTCCACAGGCAGAGGACAAGCATCAAGAGTACAGACCTACCCAAGAAAACTCACTCAATGAACTGGCAACTGAAATGAAATGATACTTCTTATAAGTACAAATGGCCAATAAAAGCATGGAACTCATCATTGCTTCTGAAAATCAGATAAATACAAATTAATACTAAACCCAGATAGCATTTTATCTTAGAAAGAATGGTTACCAAAAAAACCCTAATTATAAATGGTAATGAAAAAGGTGGAGAGATTTTTCTACACTGATAAAGGTAATGTAAACCGTTATGAACACTATGGTAATCGGAGTGGTGATTCCTAAAAAACTAAAAATACAAATCCACCTGAGCTATGACCCTTGTAGAAATCTTCCAAAATAATTAAAATCATGCTACACGAATACATAGGTACCTATGTTTACAGCAGCACAATTTGAACAGCCACATCTGTAAAATAGTGTATACATACATCAGCAGAAGAATGTATAAGGAAAATAGTATCCATACACAATGGAACACTGCACTGTGATAAAGACAGCTAACCTTGAGGAACTCATAGATAAATGAATGCAACTTGAGGATATAAAGTTCTTTGAAATAAGTCTGAAACACAAGTTCAAATATTTTCTGGTTTCTCTTATATGAGCATACTTCTCCAAATTGCATACTTTGCTTTTCCAAATATTTTATATGCCAATTTATTTCATTTATGTTACTAGCTCATTTTCAATCACTGAAAAGAAACATTTACACTTTTTCCTTTTTATATGAAGCATTTAGGCTTATGTTTTGTACTCTGAGGAAGTTCCATGAACATAGCAATACACAGTGTTTTTCCTTATTGTTTTACTACAAAAGTTATTCTTCTCATTAAAAAGCAGACATCAGTCAAAATTACTCAATAATAGCGCATGACTTGTACTGCACAGTATTCCTTATGTTGCCCAATCCAAATAATTTTTCTATCTGATGGTTTGTGTTGATCTTTTTCATTATACACCAGTCACTAAGGTAGTCTTTCAGCTACTGACTTATTTGACTTATTACCACTCCACAACACTGCTGAACTCTTGTTTAAAAAAAGAACAACCATACCTTTCCGGCTCATTCACCACATTCTTTGTTTCTGTCTTTTTTAACAATGCTGCTGCTTCCATTCTGTTTTCCCTTAGAGCAAGCATAAGTGGTGTGAGGCCTTCCTGTGGAGAAGCAGAAACAATTTAAAACCCACACAACTGCCTGCTTCTCAGCTGAACTGAACAGCTTGTGAAGGACCCTGACTGTTAACCTGATATAGATAACAACACACAGCAGTCTCTTCCTTCTCACTCCCAGTGCTTCCACACGTGCTGCCCTGCCATACCCTCTGCAGTGCATGCTCTCTGCCCACAGTGGCTACAGAAACCCCAGGGTCACAACTCGCTCCAGTCACTGGTTCCAAGGGTCTTTCCATCACAGCCTTTATCATGGTACTCAGAGTTATGTAACATCTCTCGCTTCAATCAAATGCACCTTGAGGGCAGGGGCTGTATCTTTTTTCTCAGTAACTTCAACCATAATGCACAGTCAAAAATGATTGAAGGATTTGGATTAAATTAATGAGTTAAATTATCATCCCTAGGCAGAAATTCTCAGCCTATCTTCCAAAGAATCATTTTCCATGACTTCTATGTCTCAACAGATTTGATAATCATCTGTTTGAGAAATTATAAAACTGTATTATTTCTTCAGTATTAAAATCTCTTTACCTTTGCTTTACTCGTATTCAACACTACTTGTCTTCTGCCAAATATCAACACCTGAGGAATTAACAGTTTCAGGGAATTAACAGGGACTTAACAGTTTGGGTACCATGCAAAGCAGTTAGGCAGGAAACTTGCTGAATTCTCCACCTGGTGACAGGATCCAACTATAATTCTTAACCATTCCAGCTTTCAAGGAGTACCCCCATTACATGGTCACTCAATTGTGAGATCAGCCCCAAGTGAACTTGGATCACTTCTTATTAAACCAGTTACGGCTTTCTGTCCTATTATTAGATGAAAATATTATCTCAGCTGTTAGAAAGATGAGTACAAAACTTCACTTCTCATATATAACAGCAATCCTGGGATCCCCATGCATAACTATTGCTTTTAATAAGTTTTATTCTGGTTCCATTTCAATTACCAATGTTATACAAATCAAATGTAAAATATGGTTCATCAATAAAGATTCTAATACTGCTCAATTTGGATTTTAACATAATAAATAAATTATAACACTGCTCAGGATGGATTTTCTCATAATGAATAAATTCTAATACTGCATAATATGAAAATTTTCATACCACTAAATATGAAAATTGTATCACAATGAAACTCAGTAAGACACATATTTTTAAGGGGCAAGACTGAAATGAAAGATACAAAATTCGTGGTAACAAGCATAAATTATTCAGTTGTGATTATAATTATTAATGTCTACAGGCATTCTGATAGGAACATGATTATTTATAGCATATGGGAACAATTTTAAACAATTTCTAAATTCCATTCCATTTCTAAATATTTATTCTTAAATATAGATTACATTTTTTTTTGTCTTTTTCCTTTTTTATCAGTACCAGGGATCAACCTCATGAGCACTCACTTGCAAGGCAGGCGCTTATGCCGCTGAGATAAAACCCCAGCACTTAGATTACATTCTTATAAATGAATAAAAGATATTCTGAAATTCCAGAATCTTTATTAAAATATACCATCTTTTAAGAGCTGCAAACTCTCACAGAGGCACAATCAGTAGTGTGCACAGGGAAACACAGAGGTGGGTCTGTAAAAGGGCACTTGCATGGTCACACAGGCTCTGAAGACAGGACAGTCCCTTCTCTCTGAGCATCTTCAACTTCAAATTTGGAGCAGGGTTCTGAAACCTCCTTGTGAGTTCAATTGATGAAGGAAAACTGCATAGAGCTAAGAGCCACGTTTAAGTCACAGAGTTTTGCTTTTACCTATGGTATGCATGGGCTGCCAAATGGTTGTGTACAAAGCAAGCATTTCTGTGTAAAATTCTTGCATTAACATCATGTTTTACCAAAAAAGTGAGGTCCTACCATGAAATAAAAAGCATTATAACTATTTCAATAATTTTTCAACACTTATACTTATCCTCCATTTGTATGCAGGTCTCCCTGCTGTTAAACAGTTTCAAAGGAGCGCTGAAAAGAAATTACCACAACAATTCCCAGCTGCATAGGGTGGTACAACCCCATAAGCTTATCACTCTGTGAGGCTAGGAAGAGGGATCCAAGTTCATGTCTGATTTCTGCCTCTGAAACTTAGTGAAACACTGTCTCAAATTTAACAGGGGGTGAGCAGTGATGAATGGTGGGGATGCAGCTCAGTGAGAAGGTCCTAGGTGCAATCCTCCATTACCCCCCCAACACACACACACACTAAGAAATAAGCAATACGAATTTAAAAAGCATTCCCATCTCTGTTCTTACAATTTCATTGATTTCTGCCAGGGCTTTCTTAACTGAATACAGTGACATAGTCTGTCACATGCCTCAACTAAATACAGATTCAAGGTGGACATTGTTCAAATTCCTGAAAATCTACATTTGTCAGCTTTGTGCCACTAGTGATTATAATGAGAGCCAGTAATGATAACAAAGAGATGTGGAATTCATCAAGATTAAGCCTTAACCATTAGTGAATTAATACAGAGCTTACCAGTGGCACTGAATGACCACAGGGGGGAAGGAAAGTGGTGGATTCTGCACAACAATAGGTTACACTGATGATACTCCTTTTCACTTCCCATTGACAGTTGTAGAGAAAGACAAAAGGAACTTGGCCTGATTTTGTTGGAAAGGAGAGATTAGAAGGAAGTGGTATTTAATCCAACTCATCTAGAGATTTCTTCAGTTTCTGAGAATTAGGAATTCACCATTAAACATGCCTGTCCATTAAATGCTTCTGAGCTACGTCAGAATCTTGAGGAAATATTTTGAAATATCCATGTCAGGGCTTAAGACATTTACTGAACCCAAATCTCCAGGGCAGAGCCTCAACTGTTTCAAACCTTTCTCCTGACCACAGAAACGCACAAGTCTAGATGAGGACTAGAGAACCTAGAAGATGACATCAGTCTCATCTCTCATCTACACAGCCACTACTTTTTACTAGTTGAGAATTTAGACAAAAGGAGGGAAGGTGAGAGACAGGTACTCCATGGAAGCTCCATTTAATCCTCTTGGCTCAGGGCAGAACAGGGACTAGTACATTCAAAATACAACTGATCTCATCATACAAGCTCCTTAACTCCCAGCTCCCAGCAAGACATCATATGTTTGAAAGGACAATTCAGATTCTTATCTTAGTTGCGGTTTCTGACTGAAAAGGAGAGGATCTTTCTTAATTATTCTTTCATTTCCCTTGTTTCTTAATTAATTACCATTCATGCATGCCAAACTGGATTGCTGGAGTTCTCCTAAAATTTCAGGTTTACAATATATGATTCTCAATAAATGGGCGCAGCTTGAGACCATACTCATAAGTGAAATAAATCTATCTCGCATGTGTGAATACCGAATAGTTTCCCTAATGTAAGTAACGATTCAAATATATAAAAGTATGTGGTAATCATGATTTCCCCATTATGTGGCCTTGAAGCCTTATAAAGTTTTCACTTATTAACTTGGAAAGGCTTTATTCTGGGCTTCTTGATATGGAAATATTTGAAGCTATAGTATATGAAGTTATATTCAAATATTTCAAGGAAAAAGACAGACACTATGTTAACTGCAAGTAAGTCGGGTTATTTGGTGGTGAAGCACTAGGTTGCTGAAATTGTCATGCTTTGACCTGTATTGTTATGTTGTTATGTCCTCTTTTATCTCAATCTCTCCCTTATTCATTAAAAAGATTATTTAGTTATTTTTTATGGTTTTTTTAATTAAGGGGAAAATTTTTAAAAATTAGCAGGATATATTATAGTAACTTTTTTTGATTTCCTGTTAACTTGTTTTGAAGCCCTGTAATACTCCCACGATCTTGTTTTAACTGATTAGACTCTGTTCCGTTCTGTATGATAGTATCAAGAGTATAGGCAACTACTTTGAAGGCAATAAGATTCACTAAGATGCCCATTCTGGTTTGACTATTATCTCCTTTGGAAGTGCTGTAATGTTTACAATGTTTAGGTTTTATTGGTCTTGTTCTCTACTGTTTTGTTCAACTTTATAATACCTAATGAGATAGACAATTCTTTTTAAGGAAGCAAGAGGCATTATGGTAACCATTGTTGATAACCTTGTACTCTGTTATTACATCATGTACTGTGTCTATCCTTGGTTTTGACTGACAGCTTTGTTTTCCCATATTTGACTTTATTCTCTTCCCAAAAAAACAGTAATAAGAACTAAGGAGTAATAAAACCCAAAATATATAATTTTGTTGTAAAAAAGAGAGGGAAAAAAAGTGCTCTACAGGATATAACTGCAAGTGTGTTTAGGGGTGTTAAATAGCTGACCATATTAATGTTTTTGGTTGGATCATTGAACACAACTGTTTGCAGTCTCTCTGTTTGAATGTTCACTTTGTATGCTTTGATACTCTGACTTGAGCAGATATCTCTAGGATGATAATGTGTAATCTATTAACTGGTGATTTCTTAGTGTTTTTTTTTTTTGTAGTTCTTTATTACTTGTACTCTTAAACTGCTTTGTTTTGTTTTGGTTTTTCTCTTTTTCCTTTTAAATAAAATTTAAAAAAAACAATTATATGGTTTTCTTTTCTACTAAGAATTTTTAAGAGGATGGAAATGTAGCTCAGCATCACACAGTGCCTGGCTGGTAGGTGCAAGATTCAGAGTTTGACTGCCACTATTGAAAAAAGCATGTAAAAAGAAAAATAAAAAAAAAAAAAACAGAATAAAGAGTTTTTATTCTCAAGCTAGGTACAGCCAGTAATCACTGCACTATGGGAATATGAGGCAGGCACATCGCATGTTCAATCTCAAATAAGACAACTTCATATCCTACCAAAAATAAAACATAGCACAGTTGAACAAGAGACACAGCTCTGTGTGAAGGGTCTGTGTTCAATTTCCAGTAATAAGTAGAAAAAAACAAATTTTATTCCTAAAATTGAAGAGCATCTTATCTATGCACATGAACCAGAAACTATATTCCTTCAGTAGCAACTAATCAACAACCAAACACTATTGGCTTGCATTATTTCTAATCATTTTTCCTTGTCATTTTTCCCATTTAAGTCAAGTCACCAAAAATGGATCATTTTTATGAACTGTCAACAGCAACAACATTTCCACTTATTCTAAAATACTGTTGTTCTACAACAGAAAAAAAACCACCTGGTAGGACAAGCAGAAATCAAAGAACTGGAACACAACATGGCAAAGTCAAGCCAGTACATACCACTGATATGCATAAATGTAAACGGTCTCAATTCACATATCAAAAGAAATAGGTTGAAAGAATGGATCAAGAAACATGATCCCACAGTATGCTGTATACAAGAAACACATCTGACCACACTGAAATTAGAAATTAATGGCAGAATAATTGTGAAACCTGTATAATTACATGGAAATTAAATCACAACCCTTTGAAGAACCAGTGGGCCACAGATAAAGAAGAAATAAAGCAATAGCTACAAATCAATGAAATGCAGACACAACATACTGTAATCTATGGGACGCAATGAAAGCAGACTTAAGAAGGAAATATATATCAATAAATTGTTATATCAAAAAAAAAGAACGACAACAAATAAACAACCTAATGCTTCATCACAAGCTTCTAGAAAAAGAAGAGTAAGTTAAACCCAAAGCTCATACAAGAGAGGAAACTGTAAAGATTAGAGCAGAAATCAATGCAATGGAAATTTAAAAAACAGTACAAAGAATTAATGGAACAAAAAACTGGTTTTTTGAGAGACTAAACAAAATTGACAAGCTTCTAGCTAACCTTATTAAGAAAAAGCCTAAATTCAGGCAATAAAGACCAAAAAGGGGGAAATTACTACAGATCCCATGCAAATTCAAAACATCATGAATACCTACTTTGAAAATCTCTACTCACATAGCGTGGGAAATACAGAGGAAATGGACAGATTTCCAGAACCATATGAACTATCAAAGCTCAACCAAGAAGATACAGCAAATTTAAATAATCCGGTATCAACTATTGCAATTAAAATTATAATTAAAAACTTACCAACAAAGAAAAGCCCACATCCTGCGGATTCATGGCTAAATTCTACAAAAAATTTAGAGAACTTCTCCTTAAACTGCTTAAACACTTCAATGAAAATGAAAAGGAAGCAATCCTCCCTAAATCATTCCTGGAGGCAAGTATAACTCTCATACCAAAACCAGAGAAAGACCCAACCAAAAAGGAGAACTATAGGCCAATCTCACTAATCAACAGTCATGCAAAGATTCCCAATAAAATACTGGCAAGAATAGAATGCAGCAAAGAATCAAGAGATTATACATAATGACCAAGTGGGGTTCACTCCAGGAAGGCAGGAATACTTTAACATATGCAAATCAATAAATGTAATACAATCCATCAACAGAGCCAAAAACAAAAACCGCATGGTCGTCTTCACAGATGCACAAAAAGCTTTTGATAAAGCCCAACACATGTTCATGATAAAAACCTTTCAGATACTCAGAACACGTGGTGTCTACCTCAATCTTATGAAGCCAATCTATGACAAATCAATAGCCAACATTATACTAAATGGACAAAAGCTGAAAGCTTTTACTTTAAAATCAGAAACAAGACAAGGATGTCCACTTTCACCATTCCTATTCAAATACGTTCTGGAAACACCAGCCAGGGTAATCACACAAGAGAGAGAAATAAAATGAATAAATATAGGAAAGGAAGAAGTTAAATTATCACTATTTACAAGTGACATGATACTCTATGTAGAAGACCCAAAAATTTCCATTAGAAGACTGTTAGAAATAATTAAAAAATTGAGTAGTGTAACTGGATCCAAAGTCAAAACTCAAAAACAAATAGCATTCCTGTACTCAACCAAAAAAAACTCACCGAGAGAGAATTTATGGAAATATCACCTTTCACAATAGCATCTAAAATAATGAAATACTTAGGAACCAAGCTAACTAAGAATGTAAAAGACCTATTTGCTGAAAATTATGCTACACTACAGAGGGAGATTGAAGAGGATATTACAAAATGGAAGAGTATTCCTTGTTCTTGGCTAGGAAGACTCAATATTGTGAAAATGGCCATACTCCCAAAACTGTTCTACAGATTTCATGCAATTGCAATCAGAATACCATTAACGTGCCTCACAGAGCTAGAGAAGACACTCCTGAAATTCATTTGGAAACAGAAGAAACCTAGAATAGCAAAGGCAATTCTGAGAAACCAAGGTAAGGGAGGAAGCATCTCAATTCCTGACCTGAAACTCTATTACAAAGGCACAATGATAAAATGAGCAGGGTATTGGCAAAGAAATACACCTGGGGAACAATGGAACAGATTAGAAGATGCAAGCACAACTACAAAAACAATCAACCACCTGATATTTGACAATGGGGCTAACCATGTTCACTCTTTAATAAATGGGGCTGGAAAAACTGGCTCTCTGCATGCTGAAGACTGAACATAGACCCATGCCTATCACACCAAGCACAAAACTATAAGTCTAAATGAACCAAAGACCTAAACATTAATACAGAAACCTTAAATCTACTGGAAGACCAGGTAGGCAGAAGACTTGGAGACAGAGGTAGGCAGAGATTTCATGAACAAAATGTAAACTGCATGGGAAACACGTCAAAGAATCAACACCTGGGATCTCATATTATTCAAAAGTTTCTGCACTTCAAGAGAAATCACTAACAGAGTGAAAAGAAAACCCACAGAATGGGAAACAATTTTAGCCAACAACTCCTCAGACAAAGGACTTATATCCAGAACGTGTAAAGTATTGAAAAACATCAAGCCCAAATTCAGAGACCCTCTCCAAAAATGAACATCTGAGATGAACACACATTTCTCAGATGAAGATATACAAATGGCAAATAATTACAATGATGGTGAAAGAAATGTTCACCATCATTGGTCATTCGAGAAATGCAAATTTAAACATCATCAAGATTCTCACTCCGAAAAGAATAGCTGCAATCAAGAAATCAACTGATAACAAATGCTGGCGAGGCTGTCGGGGGTGGGGGGGAACAATGCTCCACGATTGCTGGCAGGGTAGACTGACACAGGCACTATGGAAATCAGTATGGAAAATTTGCAGAAGACTAGGATTGGAAGTTCCATTCGGTCCAGTGAGTTCCCTCATTGGTATTTTCCTAGAAAAATGGAAAATGTCATATACCTGTGAGATATGTGCAGCCATGTTCATAGCAGCACAATTTGTAATAGCTAAAACTTGAAAAAAACCAAGATGCCCATGAACTGCAGAGTGGATGAAAAAGATGTGATATTTTTATACAATAGAATATTACTCAGCTATAAAAAGGTTGCTGTTGAGGCTTTCATAGACAAATGGAGACAATTTGAGGCTCTTCTCACTAATGAAATAAATAATCATATTTATAAATATCACAGTGTGTCTCTAGTGTGAAATGTAATAAGAAATGTAGGAGTAGTCAAACACAAAATGTGTAATTGCTGTTGTGAAAAAGAGAGGACAAAAAACTGATCTAAAGGCTACAACTGCACGTATGTGTGACAGTAGATTTGATAACCCTATTAGTAAATTTTTCTTGGAGAGCTGAAAAGAACAGTTTGCAGTATTGCCGTTTGACCAGCCACTTTGTGTGCTTTACTTTTGTAACTTGAACTATATCTAAAAGAACAGTATGTGATTTATCAACTAGTGATTTCTTACTGTTAATTATTTTTGAAATTATGTGCTATTTCTACCATTTTCCTGTTGTTTCTTTTAAATAAAAAAACACTATTGCTCTGCTTAAGTTTTAAAATAAAACCAAATTCTGAGGTTAATTTTGCTATCTTGTGCTGTTTTACACTACTGCAAAAAAGAAAGAAAGAAACCTTTTGAAACAAAAATTTTACATTTTAAAATTCAGTGTGTTCACAAATACTGTAAGTGCATAAAAGAAACTCACATCCTCTAGCATTTCATTAAAACTATCAACATTGAAAGTGAAAACATTAACTATTAAGTTATTTCAAACAGTGTATTCATGAAACACTTGAGTTTCTACATGTGGAAAACTGACCAACCAATATGTCACTGTGAACAGGAAAGTATTTCAGAAACTTTGGAAAGAAAATTCAGTGCTCTATACCTTGTTTTTTGCCTCAGCATCGGCACCATGCGAAAGCAGTTTTGCTGTTAGTGAAGACTTTGGATGAAATACCGAAAGATGCAGAGCAGTGTCGCCCTTGGCATTGGCAATATTTAGATTTGCACCATGCTCCAAGAGAATACTAGCACAGCCTTCCTCGTAGCATTTTACAGCCTGTGGGTATTGTAATAAAGGAGACACCATCAGCTCAAGAAACTCCAAACACACTTTCCACATGCCTGGCCAAGGAGTTATATTCAAATTACACTGACTGACTTTGATTTTCAGCATTTAAATACAATCCCTCCCATGCTGAAATTGTTGGCTGCTATTTACCTTAATCAGAGCGGTGTCATAGTCACTGTCACAGGCATTAATATCACACTTGCTCTTTACCAAGAGAGTCACCACTTCTGGATGGCCATAGGCACTGGCATAATGCAGAGCAGTCCTGGGACAGTCAAGAAGATTATTAGGAAATTACAGCGCTCCATTTCAAAATGCAAAATTATTTATGGAATTATTATGAAAATTAAATATCTTTAACAAGAAGTATTTAATTGTCTTTGAAAACATAGAATGCTTCACAGCTCTTACTGCTCACCTGTGAATGGAAGTGCAAGTGGGTAACGCTTAGTGTGGGGGATGGAAGCTGCTGTCTTGCACATAACTAAACAAGGTCCCTGCACTGCGCTACCTCCCAGCCTAGTGCAACCCACTGGAATTAGTAAGAACAGGCCTCAGATTCAGCTCAATTGGAATTTAATTTCTACCCTAAGTTCTTACTTTCTAGCCATCCTTTGGCCCTTCTGTGCCTCGGGATTCTCACCTACTAAATGAGAACTGAAGTTCTCAGTTCTCTCAGAAGACACCACTGAGATGGTTAAATAAGAATCCACACAAAATATTTAGAACAACTTGTAGAACAAATAACAGCTCAATAATTGTCAGATACTATAATGTCTACTATTACTACTTAACAAAGACAATATTTCAATTAAGTAAAATAAAATAATTAAGATGGACATTCTTTGTGGGGTTAGGATTATTTCAATAAGCCTCCAGACACTTTTTCTCATATTTTAACACCTCTGTCATTGGAAAGGCACACAAAGCTCAGAAGACAAAAGCTCTTGTGTAACTATACCTGGTAGTGTGGAAGGTCCCCTCCTGACCTTTGGAGTATGGGGGCTTTTTACTGCGTAGGATCAAACACTGTGTATGCTACTGATGTGACTCTGTAACAAAAACCAGCCTGTAAAATGTTAAGGTATACCGACCAGACTGGAAAATCCTTGCATGTGCCCATATAAGGGTGATGAAAAGACAAAAATTGAATAAAAAGGGGCTAACATGCGATACTAGGCATGAATCTGCTGAGTTAGTCTGAGCAGCAATGAAGCTGCTTCCTGGGCAAAAGGCTTCAGTATCCTGCAGTGGCTTTAAAAAGTTTTCTTCATATGGCATCATCACATGATTCATAGTAAAATCTCTAAGTACAGACAATTTCTTTATATCTTTATTTTTGAAGAAGCAAAAAGTTGTCAGAAATACCAATACACACACAGAAAAAATGAAAACTATCTGTGCTTAACTAATGTTTGTGTTTTTCCCAAGAATTATTTTATTAATAGACAACTTTCACTAGAATTTTATATTTATTTATTGTAGAAATCAAGGATGAGAGAAAGGAAAGAAGGGCACACAGAACCATTATTGCCATTACTAATCATGAGATAGTACAAAATGAAAGGCACAAAAATGTAAAAATACAGAATATTCAACATTGTTTCTGGTGCCAATGAAACTCTGTTAGAGTGAAAAAATTAATGAGAAACTCTTAAATATTATGAGTAGAATGACTTTCTAGATAATAAAAAAGAACAGAAAATTTCACCTCTCGTTCAAATGCCTAAAAATAACAAATTTTGCCACAACTTGTATACATTTTCTGACTAACACAAGACTGCAGCCTATTTGTGTGTAGGCAAAAGTAAACTGACTCTCGTCTCAGTGGATATATCAAAGTGCATCTTTCCCTGTTAAAAATACATTCATGTGATGCCAATTTCAGTGATTATATATCACTCCATCCTGCAATGCACTGCAACTGATACAATCTTTCTGTGGATCCATCACTATGTTAAGCAACAATGAAGAAAAGCACATTTAACGTGTCTGTATGTTCTGAAGGTATTCTAGAAAGGAACTGATGAGTGGACATACGCTTTCCTAAACTGTGGTACAGTACTTGAATCAAATTTCCTATTTGAAAAGGTCATAAGCCATCTCCAATTTTAAGCAGCAGGATAAACTGCTCTTCATCCTCACAAACTCTGTAGCTGAAAAATATTTCACTCCATTGTAAAATTAAATTCTCCTTATCAGGAACACTAAACATTTCTTTTTATGTTTACAGGTCATTTGTCAAACCAACCACCTAATTTAGAGTTTGATATAGCTCAGTGGTACAGTAGGATTTGACGCTCACAGTGTGTGCTATCTACCTTTAAAGTAAATTAGTATTCAATTTTTTGATGATTTTCAAACAATCACCTTGAAAGATAAAGATACAGTTTTCATCTGATGTATCTATGATGTATATTTCATCTGATATATGGTTTATGATATATCTGTCTCTATTTTATTTTATTTTAGTTTAGTTTTTGGTACTAGAAATCTGACTCAGGACCTCACACTTTTCAGACAGGCACAGTGCCACTGACCTATATCCCAGGTCATTGTTGTAAATGTCTTACAAATATGTTGTATTTCATTTGGTCAATGTTTTCCTAATATAAAGGAACATTTAATTTTTCTTTTGAGAGTTAATCTTCATAATGCAGGTCAGGAAGGGGATGGCTGAGTGGTAGTGTGTTTCACATGCACCAGGACCTAGCAGCAACCCCCAACACAAAAAAAAAATGCTCATTGTGACGGTCACTTCTAGGAATATGCAAATGTGTTTGTTTTTGCTAATTTTCTCATTTTGTATGATCTAAAATTTTTATTTCTATGCCACTGGAAACTTTTGTGACATAAAATCTACATTTTTTGAAATGGTTTACATTTCATTCATGTATCATTCCAGTTTTTCAACTAAAATATGTGAGGATCAATTTCTAAATTCTGACAGATATTTGAATGTTTCCAGATTTTCTATTAAGTTACATTCATTTGTCTATCTTTTGGGCTGTTAGAAAATAATTAATTTGTGAAAATAACTTACCTTGATATCTACGAAGGTGGGTCTTCCACTATATTTTCTTAGTGACCCCAATGGCAAAACAACAAAGGGAAACTCAAGTGTTGCACATTTTTTTCATTGCATAAGCAGATACACAAAAAGCTCACATTTGGGGACTAATGGAACTTTCTAGCCAAGATGTTAGCCAAGGCAGAACATAGAGCTGCCTTCCCAATTCAGTTTCCTTATAAAGGTCCTTAGTACAGAACATACATGCACAGATGGACACTGATAGTAAATGGACACTAGGTTTTTAGAAGCTTAAGTTTCAGCCCTAAATTTGTAGATTACAAGAAACATGCCACAGTTCCCTTTTTTATAATATGTACAATTCTCTTAATGTGATACTAAGAACAAAACACTACACACACATCATACCAATGTTAAATAGCTTTTCAGTAGTCAATGAAGTGGCCTACAACAGGAAGTACAAGTCCATTATAAACCAGTGGGAGGTTTGTTTTTATGTTGCAGCTTATGAGCACTGCCTGAGGATTGACCCTCTGGCCAGCTTTGCTTCCCTGGGTGTTGGGAATCCCCCTGCACCCTCCTCACCCACTCCTCCCTCCTGAGCCTGAGACCCTCGCTCTCCTGCATCATCCCAGCCCCACTCGCCGCCCCTGGTCATGCAGCCCCATTACCTGCGTTCCCTGTCTCTGTCATGGACATGGCCTGCTGTGATGAGAAACTGCACCCGGTCCTTGTTGCCCTTACGGGCAGCCTTGTGAATCTTGGGCATTGGCTCACCAAAGATGCTTTGCAATGCAACCTTGCAGTTTTTCAGAAGGCCCACAGGCCTTGATGGTCCCGGGTCCCCACTGGACAAGTTCTTCTGGGCACAATCTATAGAGAGTGCAAGCACCTCAGGGACCCTGGACCTCTCACTGCCTTTCAGTGAAAGCCAAGCAACCCCTCATTCAACCCCTAGGCTCTAATGGCCTCTGCACATGCACATCTCCACAGCTCTGGAGCAAGCAGCCTATCGTGCACAGGTGCTGAGCAAAAAGCCTAACTATCCCCATTAATGTGAACTCACCAGATTCTGGTAATGTTGCAAGTGGTTGTTTATCATCAGATTTCAAATTCTCTGATTTCTCAGCAGTCTCATAACATGAGGCCAAACACCAATCTGAATCAAAATAGAAAGTTTGATATTTTGGAATGTAATAGTACTACAACCATAACTAATGTACAAACCCATTCCTCAGAAGCAGTCTCCCGTGTTTCTCTGCTCCACAGTACAATAATGCCTCAGGCTTACTGTGCTACACAGCTTCTGTGCTTGCCAATCACTCAGCGGAGTTTCATTATCACCACCATTTCTCATTCTTCTGTTTTCACTTACTTGAAGTATTATGATTTACCCAGCAATCTCTTTTACATACATTAATTTCTAGGACAGTTGATTTAATTCTTTAGGGAAACAAATTTCATTTCACTGCTATGAGATGTCAAATGTGTAAATAATGAGCAAATTGCATAAAACAGAGTGTGAATTAGGGAGAAACTGTTTCAAGGACAGTGGAACTAGGGAAGGGGCGGGCCAATGGAAAGAGAAAAGGGATCCATTTCTTAAAAGAAATGAATCAGACATACACGTATCAATATCATATTGTTTTTCTAGAGGGAGAAACTCAAAATTGTAAATCAGCACTAAACTGTGCAAGGATACTGGAAAATATTCAAATAGGAAGGGGAACAGGGTGCTGCGTGAGAGGGAGAGGAAATAAAGAAAAAGGAAAAGAACAGACAGTGCTGGGGATTTAGCTCAACAGCAAAAGTGCCTGCTCTGCAAATGTAAGGCCATGAGTTCAATCCCTGGTGCCCGCACTCCCCCAAAAAAACGGACAGGAGAAAATAGAGACAAGGCTTTTGTAAATAAGCAGGTTAAGGTGATCACTTGAAGGGAGAGGGAGGGACTGGGGATAAAGCAATCAAGAAATATCTTATACAGTAGAAGCTTACTCTAATGAATGTTATCCTTATGGATATCTAAAATGCACCAGTATAATCAAATGGAAAAACAAAAATGAAAATTGTCTATTGTACTATAAACACACACAATATTGTTTCCAAGACTCAAAGACATGGATGTTAATCAATATATTACTTTAAATTCTGAAAACTACAATGACATACATACTTCCATGTGCCATTGCTGTTACATAGAATTCACTTTATAAATTTTGATAACATCACAAATTCATAAGAAAAGTGCCGGCTCTCCGGGACCTTATTGTGCCCATGTACGAACTAGTTTAGTCCAGGTCACTCGTAGTGAACCTTTGGCACATGCTCCACAGTGGGCTCTTTGCTATCACTGAAAGCCCTAGAAGGCTCACTGTCTCCAACCAAGACACACATTAGTCCCAGCGAATGGCTGGAGACAAGAAAGGAAAGCACAATGACACAATGCCGTTTTTCTTTATAAACAAAATTGTCACACTTATAAAATTAAAGACAACTGAAAGAAAACAGGAGATAGAGAGTTTAAATGGCAGTTCGCTGTGAAGAAGCTCTTTGTCACTTGGCGTTCATGGACAATACTTATTGTTGAAATGGTGGTTTAACAGTGAATTAGAATCCCTGAAGCTCAAGGTTCTAAGAGGACAAATAATTCCAAAGGTTAAGTGCAATTCCACACTCATTCCCTATCTTGATGGGGCCTAGCAGACTGACTGGAGTTTTCAGAAATGTAACGTCTCATCTGTCATAGTTCCAATGATTCACGAATCACAGCTCTAATGGATATTGGCATATGTGACTGCATGCTGGTATCTTACAGCTTTTTGTTCTTGTTGTTTGTTTCTTTGTTTTAGTACTGGGGATCAAACTCACGAGCTGCATTAGCCAGGCCGACACTTCTGTTGCTGAGTTAAATCTCCCGCCCCACTATTCTCCATCTTTCAGATTTAGTCTCTACTAGAGTGTCAATAGATTCAACATACTTTAATAAGAAACCTCTGTAGATTATGTAAGATCTTTTACGACTCTAAAAGGAATTCCAGCTAAAGTTTGAGAATCTTTGTTGTGAAGAATTGTATCGAACAGTCACTAAGAATGATTACGTCTGCACACTTAATAATCAAATGTATGAGACACCATATATACACACTCACACAGTCTGCTTTCGAGAAAATCTATCTGCTTGCAATCATGAATATACCAAGGCTGAGATGAAATAAAGTGGACACACAGTGGGCATATTACTAAGGAGAGCTTTACTCTAGACAAACATCAGAATCACTGTAAGCATATTTGCTAGCGGTAGTGAACTAAATCATGGGTATCAGTGAGCCACTTGCCACTATCGCCTGAGTAACCGGGACTCTGGGATGCCCAGAGGAGCCAGCTCTCTGGGAAGCACCCACACACTTTGAAAAGATCGTGGAATTTTATAGTAAGTTTTGTGGATCCCTGTGAAGTATAAGGATCCAAGCTGAAAACATTGGATATTAAAACATACGTAAACAATTCATTAAATATTATTTTCTCTTGAGCTTATTAGCACCTTATTTGCAAATATGCACACCAATAATTACACCGGCAGTATTTATGGCAAAGCCTTGCCAACATTTGGAGACAAAATGGAGATGACTGCAGGCATATCAAACAATTTAGGGTACTGTACTTCATTACAGAGGAATCTGTATTGTGACATGTACCTGGTTGAGGTGGCAGTGCATCCTTCACTCTTACTGCTTTCTTCCCATCAGAATCTTTTGTTTCCACAGCAGGCTGAATGGGATTTAAAGTAAAGTGATTACTACACACTGCATACCTCCTAAAATAGGCAGTTCGTTCAAAATACAAATATACAGTCCTTACCTTCAAGGGAAGATGTGTGTCAGGTGATTCTAAAGAGGAAAAAGGGAAAATAAACTTTAGACAGCAATATGAGAAAACCAAGCATACATTCATGAAGACTTAGGACACAGCCGAATCTTCATGCTATGCTTGGGAAATGATTACCTCAGGTTTCAGCTCCTTTCCGACTGGTGAGAACAATATGACAGAAAAATTAGAACACAGGTCAAACATGATTTCCAATGTGCCACCATACTGCCAAAGATCATAACTAAAATAGGAAGTGAGCATATTCCAATCTGTACATGTGAACTGCTGCAAAACAGTGATCTTGGGATGTCATGATCCTGAGGGGCTGACTATCAAAGCTGACAGGAGAAGGGAACAGCATATAAACTGAACAAAGCACATCATCCATTGGTACACCGTTGCATACATGTAGGTGCTCTCGAGATGTCCACCACGGCAGAGTGCACAAATGGTGTGTTCCTAATATTGTTATTTTAAAAGGTGAGATTGTGCTCCGCTATCCATGGTGCCCTTCAATTTCTGGACATGAACGATCCCTCTGCCTCAAGTTTTCAAATAGCTTGAACTCAAAGGATATGCACAACACCTGGCAACATTTTCATGTATTTCTTTTAAATATCAGTACTCTGTACACAACCATTTTGTGTGAAAGTTGGGGACATGTCTAAGGAGAAGCTGCCCAGTAAATTCTCAGTGATTTCCACTGATCCAGTGAGAATCAATCCATACAAACTGAAAGAAATTGTAAGAAATCATTAATATGTGGTTTTGGAAGCATCTTTGGGGATATGTCCTGCACATAGTGACAAACACATAATTCTTGTGAATTCAGAGCAATTAGCACTAAAAGAAAGAAGTTGCATCTGAGTAGCAATCTGTAGATCTCTCCCTAGTCTTTCTTTCCACCCAGAAGCTCTAAGTCTATTGACACTCTCTCTCAAATGTATGCTAAACACTCGCCTAAATAAAATTAGTCTTCCTTCTGATCTTCTTCATAATTTTTACCATGCTTTGGTAAGACAAAGACCATGACTGCCTTGTGGATAGACACTGTTTGGTTGGCAGCTGCATTGGAGGTGTACAACACAGAGCAGATTCTACCACCAAAAGATTTCTGAAAAAGCATAATTACTATAGTAGAAAACCACGCACAGGTGCTACAAGTTGAATTAACTCTGCTACTTTATTACTTCCCTTATGCTGTTTTCTGGTTGGCATGAATCATGCAACAAGGTGAGTACGACTGCCCAACAGAAACACAGCTCCAATACTCATCAGTATTTACCCATTGTGGTTGACTCACTAGATTCCAGGAAGAGGGATAGAATCTGCATCACTGAGGGTGTTGCAAGGGGACATATATCAACAAACTTCAAATTCTATGATCTCTCAAAAGTCTTATTAGTCTGATGCAAACTCAAGTGGGAATCTAAATATAAAGTTTGATTTATGAGGATACAACGATACTACGCAGATATCGATTGTACAAATCCATTCCTCAGAAGCAGTCTCCTGTGTTTCTCTGCCCCACAGTACAATAATGCCTCAGCCTTACTGTGCTCCATAGCATCTGTGCTGGCCACTCACTCAGCTGACTTTCATTCGCACCATCATCTCTCATTCTTCTGTTTTAACTTAATAGTATTATCCCGATTTACCTTTAATTTCCAGGACTATCGATTGTTAAGTCTTTAGGACTGTGAATTTTATTTCATTGTTATTAGATATCAAATGTGTAAATAAAGAGCAAATAGTGAAAAAGGTATTGTGAAGCAGGGCAAAATTGTTTAAAGGAGAGGGGAACTAAAGAAGGGGCAAAGCCAATGGAAAGAAAGGGGGGAAAGACTGCATTTCTTAAATAAAATGAATCTAACACACACATTTCAACATCGTACTGTTTTTCTAGTGAGAGAAACTGAAAAGTGTAAATGAGAACAAAACTGTACAAAGACACTGGAAAATATTCCAATAGGAATGGGAACAGGGTGGGAGGGTAAGAGGGAGAAGAAGTAAAGGAAAAGGAAAAGAAAAAAACAACAGAGAGAACAAAATAGAAAAAAAGCTTTTGTAAATAAACAGGGTAAGGGGAGACCTTTAAGGGAGAAGAGATTGGAGAAAAAAGAATCAAGAAGTATCATATAGAGGCAGAATCTCCCTCTAATGAAGGGGATCCTTATGGGTATCTAAAATGTACCAATACAATGAATTTGATGCAATAAATTTAAATTTTCTGTTTTACTATAAACACACACAACGTTCGCCATTGGTTAGAACAATATGACAGAAAAACTAGAATATACATCAACCATGATTTCCAATGTGACATTATACTTGCAAGGACCATAACTAAAACAGGAAGTGAGCTTTACATGCTGACTGCTGAGAAAAAGTAATCTTAGCAAGTCATGACCCTGAGAGGCTGAGTGTCAGAGCTGACAGGAGAGGGGAATAGCATATAAATCGAACATAGTACATCACCCATTTGTACACCATTGCACTCCAAGTATCTGTGGTTTTGCATTTCTCCTGCACTGCAACTGGTACATAAGTTTGGTCATCATCAAGAGGAATTTAAACTTTGTATTCTCACAAAACAGTTAGCCATACATGTTCAGCATAATAATTAATAAACCCAGTCATGTTTTCTATGTCCTTGTGGGCCATGGCTATGCCTACATTTCTTGTATCCTCAAAACTAGTTTGGCCACATCTTGAAATTTGTTGAATCCCTCATGAATGGAACATAAACCATATCTGAGACATAATGCTACATCAGTTTTCAACATTGAAATAGTTATCAAAATGCAAAAAGCTGAATAGTCAGGGAATTGTTAGATACTAGGAAACTTTTACATTTAAAATCAGCACAATATTTACTAACAGGTAACAATTTTGGCCTTCAAGGAATGAACTGAACAATGTCTCTTGGTTCATTTTTAAAGGATTTGTGTGGAAAAGCTATTTTATCAAAACTTACTTATCTTAAAAGGGTCAGTGCTTCTATGTGCAAGCTAATCTCACGTGAACAATGATCAATTTCACAGAAAGCTCTGATGCCTGATGACTAGGCGGGAAAGGAGGGAAGTACCTGCAGTGTAAGCCAAGGCTAGCACTCCTCCCTGCTCTGAATCATCCCTGAACAGCCACAGTCTACTCTGTCACTTGCAAACACATACTCGAAAGCTGTGGGGAGGCAGTCCTCTCAGTTTGCATCATTCATTCCAAAGTTACTGTCTAGCTTTGTTCTTCCCTATCCTCCTCCCCTAATAAGTCCCTGTTCCCTTCCAAACTGACCTAGTTCTATGGTCTTGAGTGTTTCCATTTACGGCTTTTTGCGGATTATTCCTACCACTACTTTCTTTAGTTGGCAGAAATGGCAGTAATATCTTAGAATTACAACTTCTATTTCTTCTCTGTTCATTGCTTTACTCTCTCCCCTGTGACTAGAACTATTTTCAGAAATACAAACAGGAAAACAGGCACGAAATGGTTCTCCCTTGACCTTGTTATGTCTTGAACTAGTTCTTATCCAATGACTCTCGTCCAGATTTCTCTACAGGGAACTTGATACTGGCCCATCTTCAGTGGTCTGAGGATGAGTGACATGAGCATCCCTGGAGACCTTCTTAGAAACACACCACCTTAGTCCTGCTGACTCAGATGTGTGGTGTAACATGTTCCCCCACAGGGGCTTCATTTCATAACTAAAGCTCCAGGCCACAAACCTAATCGCTTCCAAATCCACTTCCCTTCCCTTCCTTCCATTTTTGGAATCTAGCACCAACTTCCTCCTCATCCTGTCAACTAAATTGAAAATGCATAACAGGCCATCCCCGTTCTAATGGACTTTTAACTGAGACTATGGCTTTCCTGAACTCAATGACTAATCATTCCTTTCTTTCTAGTTTTTGACTGTCGCATTCTGGATGTACTACTTGCTGAAATAGCAACGTTTTTAAGTGGTAAACTTTTAAATGGAACTCTGCAACCAGCATCGCGGGAAGAAGTAAGAGCGTGAACCAAGGTACCAGTGAAACTACACGTACAGCGAACAATGCTCGTTTACTTTGATCTGTAGTAAATGAAGTAGAGCTCTGTGTAATTCACTACTTCAATCCTCAATACCTTTCCAATCGTGAGAAGACGGGGAAAGACGAAAACTTCTGCCCAACCTCTCTGCAAGTTTTGTTACTCGGTGCTCAATTGATATAATTCCTATAATTCTTCCTAATGGCTCTTCCTTTTTCTAAATGATTACGTCATTTTCCCACACCCATACTTTCTCTTGCCTTTGCCTACTCCCTGTATTGTGGCTCTCTCTTTTCCCTCACTCCCTCCTCTCCTCTTAATTTTCTAACATCCCTCAGACATTAGAATGCCTTGAAACGGAGCTAAGAAGGTAGCTCCTTCAGTGACTCTCAAATTTGCCTGTGGCTGATATGTCAGGGTACATGAAACTTATTGCTGTGTTACTTCTCTTTTTTCTTACTTTGTCATTAATAAGTAGTTTTGGGGGATTCAGAACTCAGCCATGCTCCACTGTGAAATAAACATGCTGTCAAATGACTTTCTTAAAATATCACACATTTATACATATTTCTTACCTTTTCTTTTTCTATTTCCTGCCTGTTTTCCTCCATCATCTGCTTTCCCAGAAAAAGGATCGACAGGCTTCTGTGGAAAATTCACAGAGATACTCTGAGAAAATTCATATAGCAGTAATGAGTTGCACAACCATTACCTACTCATTTCCCAAGAACTTATCTGAGTTTTACCATCTTAAGGCACGCAGGTTTAATAATGGGAATCACGTACTGAGGACCAAAATGTCTCCAATGAGAGCCTTATGAGAAGCCCAGCTTCGGTCTCCACATGGGTGCTGACTTTGTAAAGCAGGCATGGAAAGCCACAGGAGGGATTCAGAGACAAAATTCCAGCTGATAAACATATTTCATCCTAACGTCGGAGGAGACAAAGTGCTCTGCACTCTCCAACGAATGGAACATTGAAACACACAGATTTAAATGAAGAAGTTTTTATGAGAGTATGTTTGTGATATACAACAATTACATTTGTTTTGGGGAACTGCTACATTCGTTATCATTTCTTCATTGCCTTGGTTCCCTTTACACCCTAACATCACTTTCCCTTCCCTGAATAAACAAATTCTTATAAATATACTTGTTACCATTCACCACTAAGCATTTCTAATCACAAAAGCCACGTCACTGTTAAAATAATTGGCCAGCTAAGAAGCTTCAGAGAGCCACGCTGAGTACAAAGAACATCGCAGGCACTGCTCCACTTGTGTAAACAAGGGCTTAGAAGAAAAACAATTATGAGTAAAACTTTTACTGCTTGAAAAGATGTTTGAAACTTAAAATATACTAATAACTTCATGTTATATTCAAGTAAGAGCACACAAATATTGGACACTATATACAACTATTTCCCAATTAAGGGAGAACTTTTTAAAAGTATAAAAAGAGCTGCAGCATAAAACCTTTTTTAATTTATTAAGTGCCCAAAACTTGCTCATACTGATTTGCATGTTTTCTTTTCTGTCTGTTGCAAAACTGTAAATAACTGTGATGAAAGTTGATGCACTTCCTGCTTTCAGGTCACTGTAGGGTGCTACAATGATAGCCAGACATGGCTCATGGCTCCCTGCTCTCTGCCCACAGTGTCCTCGAGACTTTACTGGGTTGGCTCTTTCTCACTCTTAAATTAGCAGCACTTCACGCTCATTCCCATCCTTACCTCAAACTCCCTTGGAATTCTCTAACCTATGCAGGCCTGGCAGTGCACACCTGTAATTCCAAACTTCTGGAGGTTTGAGACATCAGAAGCACTAGTTCAAGCCCAGTCTGGAGAATGTGGTGACTTAGAAAGACCCTTATCTCAAGTATTAAAAGGCCTGGCGAGCTAGTGCCAGGTGAAGGCCACAGGATGGATTCAAAGTAATGAAACAAACAGTGCTCTTGTTTGTCTGAATACTCTATCATGATAGCACAAGTCCTCATCTGATGTATTCAGTGTCCCACTACCTAGTGCACAGTGGGTACAGAATAACAGAGATTTATTCAAGTTCACATTTAAAGCCTCCTCAGGGAAACCTCAAGCACCAAGCTACTCTCTTCCTATATGCTGATTCCATCAACAGTTTACCAACAGTGTTACCATTTACAAAGTAGCAATCTATATGCCCCTCTCAACTTTCTTATTGTCTTCTTCACACTATTGTTTTGTTGTTCTCAGGTTTAGGAAAAAATCTTCAATATTTATTTAGGTACTGCAAACCAACTAGAACTTTGTATAATTTTCAAAGTATTTTTACAATTTTTATCACATTTGTCCATATATATAGCTAAAAAGCAGATCATGTGTTATCTTCATGGTATAATAAGTCACAAAATCCAAATACATTAAATGATTTTTCCAAAACCAGCAGTCACTAACTGACAAAACCAGAATACTAACTGGTTTTGTGCTTCCACCACTACCCTGGTACCACAATGCAGGAGCTGCTTGGACCGAACACATTAGGCCTTTTCCTAAGTGCTCACTCTAAAACAATTTGTCAATATTTACATCTTTATCACTACAAGCATGACTGCCATAGAGACACTCAATGCATCCACATTCAACTTTGGGTTCTGTTTTTTGAAATAATGTAAAATGGATCTGTGATTATAAAGCCCTGTATTTATATCTTGAGTCCTTTCTTCTTTTGAATTATGTCATGCAGATTGACACTAAGCAACCAAAATAGATTAACAATTGTGATTCTCACTCATTATTTTGTCAAGTTAAAACCTCTAAAAATTATATCCAAACATTTTGTCTGAATCTCAGCAGAATTTTCAGCCATTGGCCAGAGGCTGAGCAGGGAAAATTCTTCAGTTTTTGTTCAACTTAATTCCAGAATCTAAGCCGATTGCTTATGAAATCTAGCTCCTAGTTTTTGACTGCACTGGCTTCCTTGAATGAATCTTACACAGGTAGCAAAGGTGTGCTTAGCACTCCATCCATTTATTCCTTCACCTGCAGTACAAGGGATTCAACACAAGGTATTTGTATTGAGCTAGGAACCCTGTGTTTTTAACTTTTTGAGACAGATTCTTATTAATCAGCTAAGCTGGTCACAAAATTAGGAACTGTGGTTGAAAACTAAGCAAATGATTTCTTACAGGTATATGAAGACATGAGAAAGTACAGACAAATTGTCCCATTTATATTAAAACCTCAACCAATACTTATTTCAAACATAATTACAAATGATAGGCAGTACCTCAGAATCCCAAGGCAATTCACCAGCTTTCTGTACTCCTGGTGCAAACACCGTATCTATAAAATGTAGTCAGAGACACATTAGTGAGAATATTCACTGCTGTAAAATTTGCTTATAGATACAAATATATCTACATTCATGAAGATTTCAATGAGATATGAGTCAATGTGAAAAGAATTTCAGAAGTTTGAATCAGTTTCCAAAACCTGTTGGTAGAAGGAAATTAAGACAAGTAAAATTTTAAAAGAAATGAATATCATTTTTTAGATCTACACACATTTGAAAATAATAGCATATAATCAAAAACAACTTTCACAGTCACTAATTTACCAGTTTGATGAGTTTTCTTCTCCTCATCCACATTAGTCACATTGTTAACTGATTTCTCATCCAGTGCTTTTACAACAAAAGGCTTACCCTTTTTCCGCGCTGTAACTTTTGACATTTCTGCTTGTTTCTATTGAAGAAAAGAAAAAAACAGTATTACAAAGCAGGCAATTGCCCAGCCACCCACTCAGTGTAATGGAAACACAATGGAAACAATCACCGAAAAAATCTATCAAATCACACGGATTACTCTGCAAAAAGCTGAAAGCACATTCTGCTTGCATGGAAGCAGACGCAGATACATGAAAACAGTGAAATGCATTTCATTCATTCTACAAATGGGGTCCAAAGACAGGCTTCTAAAGCAAATACGATCAGTTCTATCTGGAAAGCTCAGGAAAAGCCATTTCTTGTGAACAGGTGAGAAAGCACCAAGGAAGGGTGTCAAGGGCATTCAAGAAAGGACACCAGAAACAAAAGGATGGGGCATGAAACAATACACAAAAGAGGGCTGCCCAAGGGATGTGACACAGCTGGAATACAGTTCCTGGAAGGGCACAGACAGGTGAACAGGAGCATCACACTAATTTCAGGCTGGAATGGGAACTTCCCTTGTGAAATGCAAATCTGTACATTCTCTGATATTGTAAGATCGATGCCAGAGAATAATGGGAAGCACAGCATCAAAGAATATTGTTTTTAAATGATGAGTGAGAAAATGAGTCCAGAAATGAAAAATAGTTCTCAGAATGTAGGAAGTAAGCAAATTTGATAGTCACCAGAAGGGTAGCTGGGGCCAGGAATTCTCAGCTTCAGAGATCTGGTGCCATCCAATATCATCACAGAAAGACCACAGTCAAGGCCTGCAGGAAATACATCTAACTGGAGGCCTGGGATGGAGGAGACACATTTGGAGGAGGGGAGATGATGACCTCACTCAGGAAATGATATTGGCTCAAAAGGTAAGTAACTTTTTGTAGAATACAGAAAACGGAGGCAGTAATGCTAATCTATGCACAGTTCTGAAATTCATCAGATGAAATCATGAGGGGGGAATTACAGGAGATGCCATTTTTCAATTATATACATTAACATTTGTGTTGAAGCTATAAACAAACTTTAACTGATATATGCAAATACTAACTTCTGAGACAGTACGCAAATGTGAATTTTAAAATTTAATCATAAGATTTAATACCAAGATACCCATTGAAGATTTTGAAAAAAATTCCTGTTCAAAGAAAAATCTTCCAGGATTTAATGAAATCCAGGCCTGCTGATGTGCACCTGTGGTCTGTGCTTATAGGGCAGCTCAGGCGGGATGGTCCCTGAAGCCAGGAGTCAGAAATCCAACTGGTGAATATAACCAGGTCCATTCTCATAAAGGGAAACATATTATAAATTGTAGAAGAGAAATGGTGATGATTTACCGAAAGAGGTATTTTTAAATGCTACTACAACGTGAGGGAGAAATGTAAGGCCTTATTTGAAAATTCCTATTCCCCCAATAAATGGCATATGCCAATACTTCTAGTTTTCTACATGCAATGACAGTTACAAATGGAAGAAAAGTTGTGTGCTATTTACCACTACCTGAGAACTGAAGCATTTCCGGTAGAGAGAAAGGAAACACAATAATTTCCCAATTTTCCATTCAGAGAAATGACTGCTAATTAGGATTCTACAGAAAAATTACACTTTGAAAAGGTGCACCGAATAAACATGGAGCTGACTAAAACAAAAGCATAAGAAATTTTAAGATGACATTTTAACCTATGTTCAGAGTTAAAGGATACTAGAATGTACTGTGTCTTTCATACCTATTCATTCCTCAGATTTGTTTTCTTACTTGACATGACATTAAACATAAGTCACCTGAAAATATATATCTTAAGCACAGTATACATTTTATGGCATATTTTTAGAAACTGAATGCACTTATTTATTACATAAATTATGCACACATTACTTGAAAAATTCTACTAGGTAGAAATCCATTTATTGGCATTCAACTGGTATTAAAATGCTTCTTAATACCAAACACCTCACTGCAGGTCTTCAGAATTCACACAAAAATCTTTCTAATCTCCAGAATCTCATTGTACTGCGGAGTTTTAAATGAATTTTTGGAAGTACAAAAACTTGTGAAACTTGAAATGTCAGAATCAGATACAGAGACTACCACTGTATATTTTTAAAGCTATAAAGCTTACAATTACTTACATCATTACCACTTGCTTTTGTAGACCATCTAGTTCTACTACTGCTTATTATTTTGAAAACAGGTAGTCTTCTATAAGATAAAATGTTTTAAAAGTGGTATCCCCTTTATGGAGGAATCACATAGAAAACACAGTGCAGGAAGGTGTAGTATACATTCAATCCAGCACTGGAGGTGAGGCTAAACATCCCAAATTCCAGACCGGACTCAAAAACAAATTCAATTAACTAAAAAAAGAGGGCAAGGGATACAGCTTCCTGCACAGGCCCTGTGATCACCTTCCAGAAACAAAAAAACAAAACAATAACAATGAAGATCCTGTAATTCCGTAGTCATACATCCCTGATGAAACACATTTTAAATTTCTAAGTTGTCACAGTTTCCGGTATTATTCTAGTCTAACAACAGAACCAATAACAGAAACAGAAGAGCTCTCATAAAAACTGATGATAGCAAAATAAAGATTACTTAAAGGAAAAATTGTTTTATACACGGTAAGTTGTTCAAATGAAGGCACCAAACTTCCCTGATTATTGTAGGACTAATAAGATCCATAAAAGATTTATATAGGTATGAGTGCTATGAAGGTCTTGGTAGTAAGATTTTCAAGCCATGGCAAGATCCACTTATCCAAATGATCCTTGACCAAATTTTGTATTTCCGTCATCATGGCAAAGGTTTGACAGATACAATTTTCCTGTCACTGTGTGTTTTCTAACCCATTATTATTTTCAGTCTCAAATACTTCAAAATATGTACCAGTTATTTACCAAAGGGGTGGAAATTCTTTTTAACTAGGCATAGTTCTCCAAAGTGATCTTCCCTGATCAATGTTCCATATAAATTTATGGTAGCTACACCACTGTTAAATTTGAAGACTAAGTGCAATACAATGCAAAACTAAGAAAAACAAAATTAACTTTACAAAAGAGACTTACCTTGTTATCCAGAGGGAAAGCAGTGTCACCTGATGTAGCCTGGTAATTAACAGGACTGGGTTTGCTGCAAGAGCTGGGGAGCAAAAACACACAACAACAGTGGATCAATTTTGTCCTTAAAACCTGGTGAAAGCTTGGCTATCTGTATATCAAATGACAGTTGGAAGAGATCAAAAATGGCAGATAGATAACAGCTGACTACAGAGTCTCCCTGAGATACTCAATTTAAAATTCAACATAATAGAATGTGGGGAGTCCCAAACAGAGGGAGATGAATTCTCTCACCCTAAGAAGCAACTAAGATGAGAAGAACCAATCAAACATACAGTCCAGTGTTACTATTGGAACAGCTATAGGTTCAGTGCTCCCGGCAGTGCCCAACCACACGGCAGCTATTTGCTGAGCAGTCCCAGGTCCCACTGCATCAACTCACAGGAGGCGCAGTCACACTGTGGTTGAGGGTCGGCAAACCGAATGGCGAGCTAAGCTGGAAGGGAGCCTGCATTAACCTGTGGTGAGTGACAGGAGTGGAGCCATTCCACAGAAAAGGGGGCTCCAGTGGACAACATTCTGGGACCGGGCAGGACTGGCAAGTACAAAGGGCAGCAGTGACTTCAACCAGTTGTTCCCTTCCCCAACGGGATTAGTGGAGTGAGCTTGGCTTGGGTCACATGACCGGGCTGAGAACCAATAGGTTATCCAAAATCAATTAACTGTGGTGGCAGCGCACGGTAACGCAGTGAAGTCAGAAGTTTCACTGACCCAGCAGGGAGGTAGCACACAGTAATACAGTGGAGGACTCAGCAGCTTGACTGATTTGAGGGGAGGGGCCAGCATACCCTGCCCCTGTTTGCAACTCACTAGCACACTGCAGTGGATCACCTAGCCAGTGTGCTTCAGAAGGATTGTAACCAAGAAAGAAAGAAACTGGGGCCTCCTGGAAGAAACAAAAAAGATGGGAACACGAAGCAACAAGAAAACGCCTCCAGGGTTCCCAGGTCCCAACCCTGAGAACAATGACCCAGGACAGGTACATACAAAGAAGAATGAGGACAGCAAACATGCAATATCAGACACAGCACCAGTGGACATAAAGAGATGTCTCCGGGACCTCATAGATGAGTTGAAAAGTGAAATATTTAGCCAAGTAAAGCAAAATATAAGAAGATTAATAATAGAGAGGCTAAGCACCCCTCAAGCAGACACAGACAGAAGCAGGGAGGAACTCGAACAAAGGAGAGAAACACTTGATGAAGAATATAAAGCAAATATAGAATACATGAAGCAGATTCAAAGAGATTACCAGGAAATTAAAACCTCTATGGAAAGACGGCAAAACTGCTTGAAAGAAACTATGGATAGATTATCCAAACTGGAGGACAGGTTTGCAATGTGGGATTATGAAAGGGAAAACATTTTTAAAATAACAAAGAAACAACCAATAACAAATACAAGCCTAGAAGATGACAAGAGGATCAACAACTTGAGAATAAGGAATGTGAATGAAGAAGCAGGCCTACAAAGGAACTACAAAGGCTATTCACAGAAACAATTAAGGAAAACTTTCCAAACAAAGGAAAAGGATATTCAGATGTATGAGGCATACAGAACTCCAGCCACCTGCAACCAAAACAGAGCTACATCCAGGCATATAATAATCAAGATCCCAGAAATTCAATATAAGAACAGAATATTAAATCCTATTAGAGACAAGAAACAGATCACTTATAAAGGAAGGCCCATCAGAATAACGGCAGACTTCTCAACACAAACCATCAAGTCAAGAAGGCCTGGAGCGAAATATTACAACCCCTGAAAGAAAATAACCTTCAACCCAGATTGATATACCCTGCTAAACTCTCTCTAGAAATTAATGGAGAAACAAGATGCTTCCAAGACAAAGAGGAAATTGGGAAGTTCGCAACCACCAATCCAACTCTACAGAGAATATTGCAGGGCATTCTAGGGAGAGAGAGAAAAGCACTAGGGTTTCAGAAACACTGGCAGACAAGCTTCAAAGAATGGAGCAGAAACAGAATGAAGAAGATAAGCAGACAATTGATGGCAAAAAAGAGCATAACAGAAATGAGGCAGAGAAGGTTGGCTATAATCTCTAATATAGATGGCCTTGATACACTAAATTTTAAAAAAAGAACCATAGGTGGAGTAGATCAGGAGGCAGGGTCCACCGAGATGCTATTTATAGGAAATATAATTAACATGAAAAAAAGAGTACATAGACTGAAAATCAAGTATGAGGAAACAATGCTCTACGTGAAAGAGAACCAGAGAGTAATAGGGGCAACTAGATCAGTATTTGTGGATAGGCTGGAAAGACAGGCTTTAATAGGCAAAGGAATACAATTAGAGATCAAGTCCAGGGGACCGAAGGTTCGGAACCACTTAGGTAAATAGCAGGTTGCCCCCACCCCCAATTTAAAACCAAGGATCTTGGTCAGACCCAAAAATGCACAGTGTACCCTGGAGAAGTGAAAAAGGAGGGAGAGTCTTAAAGATGGCAGAAGATACTGTTAATAGTGTATCAGGATTTAAAACCCACATTACTCGCACCACTCTGCTTAAGATACATTTTATTCTTTTTATTTTTTTTGATAGATTTTATTCTGTCCCAGTTTGTCTACTTGCATTAGATTTGAGGGCACAGACAGCTATCCCAAAAACATCAGGATATAGCACAGTAATCATCTTTAATTTCCTATTATCTTAATCTGGAGCCCTGTATGACTTCCACTGTTTTATCATGACTCATCTTAGTTGTATCTGGTCTGTTTCATTGCTGTTTGGTATCAACACATTTTATTCAAAACTGATACGATTGATAGTATCAAGTCTGAGAGTATAGGCAACTACACTGAAGATGACAAGACTCTACAATACACATTCTGGTTTGATAACTGCCTGCTTTTGAAGTTTTATACTATATACAAAGTTGTGTCTTTATTAATACTGTTATGTACAGATACATTCAATTATACTATGTCTGATGACATAGCTAATTCTATTGAAGATAACAAGAGACAAAACAGGAACTATGGTAGAACTCCTTGTAAAACAGCCTTATATGTCTTTTTTGTTTCATGTGTTTATAGGAATATGTTTTGTTTTGTCTTGCTTTGTTTTGTTTCTCCCTCTAATACAGAAAGGATAGAAGTACATGTTAAGATTCATGCATGTGTAGAATCTATAAACAGTTTACGAGAACTGATCTTATGACACATGATGAAATGAACAAATACTTTGAAGAAAAAGAGTCACTCAAGTACCCAGTGCTGATCCTGGACTGTCATAATGTGACACTCAGCAATAGTACTAATCTTTGTTCAGAGTGATATTAGCCTGCTTGGGTTTGCTCAATCTCAAAATAATTGAAGATATGGATAACTACATGTATGTGTAAATGTATAGGATAACCATATTTCTAAGTTTTTGTTGGATAGCTGAACAGAACTGGTTACAGCCTCACTGTTTGAATCCCCACTTTATATGCTCCACTTTAGTATCTTGAACAACTATTTGTAAGAGGAAAATATGTAATCATCAACTAGTGATTTCTTACTGTATTTTTTCTTTGAAAGTATGTATTATTTCTACCTGTTTTGTTTTGTTTAGTCTTTCTTTACATAAAATTTTTAAAGAAGACACTACAGTACCCAGTGCTGATCCCAGAGTGTCATGATGTGAAATCCAGCAATACTATTATGCTTTGTTCAGAATGATTTAGCCTGCTTTACTTTGTTTAATCTCAGCCTAACTGAAGATATGGATAACTGCATGTATCTTTAAGTGTACAGGATTGATAACCATATTACTAACTTTTTGTTGGGTAGTTGAACAGAACTGTTTGCAATCTCGCTGTGTGAATTCCCATTTTATATGTTCCACTTTTGTTTTTTTTTTTTTTTTTTGGTTTTTTTTTTTTTTTTTTTTTTTGTCTTTTTCGTTTTTATCGGTACCAGGGATCGAACTCACAACCGCCTGCTTGCAAGGCAGGTGCTTATGCCGCTGAGCTAAATCCCCAGCCCCTGTTCCACTTTTGTATCTTGAACAACTATTTGTAAAAGTACAGTATGTAAACATTAACTAGTGAGTTCTTACTTTGTTTTTCTCTGAATGTATGTATTATTTCTACCCATTTTCTGTTTTGTTTAGTCTTTCTTCAAATAAAATTTAAAAAAAGAATCACAGCAGACTTTTCAGCACAAAATCTCAAGTCAAGAAAAGCTTGGAATGAGGTATTTTAAGCCTGAAAGTAAACAACTTTCTATCCAGACTGATGTACCTAGCAAAACTTTCATTCAAAAATAATGGAGAAACAAGATACTTCAATGACAAAGCAAAACTGAAGAAATTGGTGTCCACCAAGTCAACCCTAGATGGAATGTTGAAGACATACTAGATAAGAGATTAAAATTAACACAATCCCCAGAATAACAACAGAAAGAAACCACTAGGTAGGACATGCAATTAAACAAGAGGGAAAAGCAGAAATCAAAAAATTGGAACATAACATGGCAAAGTCAAGCCAGTATATATCAGTGATATCCATAAATGTAAACAGCTTGAATTCACATATCAAAAGAAGTAGGTTGACAGAATGGATCAAGAAACATGACCCCACAATATGCTGTATACAAGAAACACATCTGACCTTAAAGGAAACTCATAGATTAAAAGTCAAAGGATGGAAAACAGTATTCCATGAAACAGGAAGTCAGAAAAAAGCAGGGGTAACAGTTCTATTTGCAGACCATGTGAACTTCAAACCTAAAAAGATTAAAAGAGATACAGAACATCACTACATACTCATTACTGGAAAATTTCAAGAGTAAGAACTAACAATTGAAAATATATATGCACCAAATTCAGGAGCATCCAACTATATAAGACAGATATTAATGGACATGAAAAACCAAATACCCAAGAACACAATTCTAAGAGGGGACTTTAATAGCCCATTGCCACAAAGAGATAGATCAACTAGACAAAAAGTCAGTAAAACCATAATAATACAAAACTCACACTAGCACCTGCACAGGGAGAGTTTAAGATCAT